TAACTTTTTAACGTTTCTGCAGTTATCTGAAAATCTGGGAACTGCTTGAAATTTCCCACTTATTTTCAGAAACTAATGGAACTGACCTCTCTCTGAAATTCCTCCAATTTTTGGAGCTTACTAAGCTTCTTTCAAATGCTCTCGCGTTTAGCTAATGTTCATAAAAACTAAAAGGGACAGCCCTATGGGGTTGTACGCAATGGTGACGTAGGACTACGTGGTCTTATATAATAAATCTTATTTGTTAACTGAAGCAGCAGCTTGTGTTTTGTGTAGGAATAGAAATTAGAGCGGGGTTCTCTCTGTTTATACTCTTCAGTATGACGCGCTTGACATAGAGGAGAAAAACGCGGTCCCAGATCCTTTCATATTAAAAATATTAAAATATCGCTTGTTTATCGTGTATTTTGTAAAACTTTTCGTTGTCGTCGGTGCCGGGTTTGAATAGTTATAAAAACTTGAGTAACGCTATAATGTGATATGAGAGGCTCGGTGGCCTTAGAGCAACCGTTTTTGCTTACTGAGCAGAACATCATGAGTCTAATCTCAAGCCCATCCACATTCAAGATTCGTCAATGATTAAAAAGGAGCTCGTCTGCCTAGTGGCAAACGTTTTTGCTTACTGAGCAGAAGACCGTGGGTTCAATCCCAAGCTCCTTCGCGTTATACGATCGTTAGGACATCAATTCAGCTTATTGTTTACCAAAACGAACCCTGCTGCAAACCCAACCCTCTTACCCAACATCCCTGTGATTCCTCGTGGAAGTGCAGAGGACTCCTCGGCTTCCATCAAAGCGAGTGTCACGTCAACATATTCCTACCCATTCCTTTCTTGACCTGCGTTCAAGTGCGGCTGGCGCTGGTATTGCCTAATTCGAGATCACCAGTTTTTAGACATTGAGGATGATTGCTAGTCCCAAGCATCGTCTATTGGTTCTCTGTGTAATTACAGCTGGTCTGGCAATAACAGAGTAGCAACCGTGGGCGGTCAATAATGCTCAATGCTCATGCTCTTCAGTATGACGCGCTTGACATAGATGACCCACAGCGACTCACGAAGAGCTACTGATTCCGATCAATAGCGGTGCGGCTTCTTTCTCCTTCTATTGATGCTCATATGGGCTGCAGCTCGCTGCTTGCAGACAACAATGTTCAACGCCACGCGTCGAAAGCACTGCTGCTGCTGCTGATGATGATACCGACGAAGAGACACCACCACACACGGTGATTGGAACTGAATCCGATCAGCGGTTGAGGCCAGCCATGATAGCTAACTGCTTGCAGGCAGCCTTTTGTTGTGTACTGGAGAGCACCATCACCATCACTCACCACGCGGTGATTGAATAAACACCGTTTGGGGAGACCGGATTTGAAATCTGTGTTAGGGAAATTGGTTTTTCGCAGGCAATCTGTGATAATTTTAATTATCATAGCAACAGTTGCACATTCCTGCAATTTTTAATAGCGAAATTTTGAAAAAATGATAAAGTCTTAATTTTAACAGATGCGTAGGAATATTTCTGATCGATTTTTGATAACATTATTGAAATTGGCCCAGGGGCAGCTGAGTTATTAACGTTCAAAATCTTTCATAATGTTGTTACATGTTCCATGTTCGGTTTACACAAAGTGTACCCCCATATGGAAATCACAGACGTAGTCCTACGTCAAAATTCCTGAAGTTCGTGGATCTCCCCTTAAGCTCCATAGATTTGTATGAAGTTCTCGAAATGTTTCTGAAGACCACTATCCTTCTGTGAAGTTTTCGAAGTTTTTCTAAATTTCTGGAACTTTTGTGCTTACGCAATTTTCATGAAATTAGAACAAAATAATTAATATACTTGTATGATTTTCACATTAGTTCTCATGATTTTTTTCAAAAGTTCATGAAACTTCCATTAAATTATCGACACTTATTTAAAACTTCTTCAATAGTGTAGAATTACACACTTAATCTAGCTCGGTTAAATCTCCAACAGCCGATTACTTCGGCATTTACTTTTGCTGATATCTCTGCAAAATATCTGTTTGTTAGCTGATATCTCAGCAAAATTTTATTTGTTATCTGAGTCTCGGCAATTGTTTGACTGAATCTCAGCAAAACAAAATTGCAGAATTACTCGGCTGTTGGAATCTCGGCGAAATTTTTTAAGTGTGTACCTGGTGTTATTTAAACTACCTAAACGATTATTGAATTCTTTTTAAAGTTCTCTAGACAGCGCTGAATTGATCAGAATATTTTAAGAACCCGCGACTTTACTGAAATTAATTGATTTGCCTTGAAGTTTTGACAACTTTCCTTAAGTATTCTAACTATTAAAAACGCTCACTTATTTCCCGGAACTTATCTATGCTTACCTGAAGTTCTTATATATTCGAAATTCCCTGACGATTTTGGATCAATCATAGAATTCTTCTAATAACCCATAATTCCACGGAATTCCTTGTAAGTCTCTGCAAATTTGCTTACGTTAATAGGATTATTCTGAAGCTATCTGATCGTCCTCGAAGTACTCTGAACTTCGCTGAATATCATGAAACTGTCTAAATTCTAAGTTCTCTTGAATTTCTTAAAGATATTTATCGCTGCTTGCTAAAAGTTCTCGCATTTTTTTTGATTAATGAAACTTCGTTGGTCAACTTAGTTAAATTTTTGCATTTTTTAAAGTTCTTGAAATCTCCATGATATAACACTTTTAAAATACTCTCACGTTATCCGGATGTTCATATAATTTTTTTTTATCACGTTCCAGAAGTTCTATCGGCGCTTTGCTGAAGTTTCCGGAACTTGTTTAAGGTTTCTACTGCCCTTTGATTCTCTGCTCTGTCTTGATGTTCTCGAAGCTTCCCAAAAGCTCTCAATTCTATTGAAGATAAATTTCCCTGAAACTGTTTGGACTCCTGTGAAGTTCCTGAAATATTTCTGAAGTTTTCATAAATTCTTTGATGGTCTCTGTACTTCCTTGAAATTCTCGGAACATCTTAAGGGTTCTCAATTTTTCTTAATTTACGATTATAGATATTTAAACTGCTCCGAAAACTCTGAACTAAAGTCATGGGAACTGCTCTTAAGATATGAAATTCCCCAAAAATCTCTAGACCTAGCTTTTCTGAGGTGCTTTGAACTTCTTAAAAAATTGCACAATACCTCTTAACACATGTGATGCGATCTGAAATTCTAGGAACTTCATTGAAGTTCCTGAAAATATTCGGATGTTAAAAGAACCGATTTGAGGATCTTAAAGCTTCTAGTAAGTTCCCCATAATTTCAGTGTGTTAACTTTCCTTATGTTACCGTAGTTTGCTTATGGAGCTTTACTGAAATTCTCAGCATTTCCTTTCATTCCTAAGAACTTCTTCAAAGTTTCTATAGTTGTTGTGAAGTTAATGGGACTGCAATGAAGATTTCATATCTTTCATAAAGTTAATTACGAACTTAAAATAAATCGTTTAATGTTTTCCTTAATTCAGCCACTTTGAAAATTTCAATATCTTGAACTTGTACATGGAATACGAAAATACAAGACATTGAATGTTTTTAGATCTTGGACTTAATTAATTAATTAATTGGACTAAGTAAGTGCTTAATTTCAACCATTGAAATTTGATTATAAAGATGTTTCTTCAAAACTGATTGTCATTAAAAAAAATTGGGTTAATTACTGTTGTTTTTGATCTTCCAGAAAAAGCATACTTTGAACGCATTTTAAAAATAGCTTTCTTATTATAAGCCTTGAATTTATCCGTTAAAGTTCTGGAAAAACTTGGAAAACTCAGGAAATTACTTCAAATTTATTCAGATTTTAGACTTTAGTGACTTGACCTTAAAAAAAGAGACTTTTTAGTGACTGGCATGAAAAAATTGACCAAGTCACTAAAAAGTGACTCACTACCAGCCCTGCTGGCATCACTGCTCTGTACATCATAAAAAACGATAAATAGAAAATCGTATTCCGTATTCGTAGCACATCAGTCCCTTTGTAATTTTCGCGACATCTTTGAATGTTTCCGCGATTTTCGCAACCGAAAGTTCAAATCCGCGGAAATCGCGAAATCCGCGGAAATCGCGAAATCCGCGAAATTCGTGAAATCCGCGCCTGTTGTAACAGCCCTGCAATTAACAAGGTCTAGCTCTACGGAAATTTATGTTTATAAACCCTCAGAATTTCAAACTCAGGGGCTGAAGGTACATTAGGTCCAAAATCATCGAAATATCCTTTTATTTGAGTAATTTTTACTCAACATCAAGCATTGAGCAACCACAAGTTCGCAACTCCGTTTCAATTAACAACCCTCCTTAAACTACACCGAGCAAACTTCCACCGAGAAACTTCCTGAGATTCCCTGATTTTCAAGGTCCACAAATGAATTCCCTGATATTCCCTGATTAGTCGGCACCCTGTGCATTATTTACCAACTCAACTCGATAGTAAACAAAACTAAACTAAACCTATTCAGCCTAACGAGCTGTTGGGCTTTCCGAAATAATTGTGCTCCAGTAGTTATTGACTCGCTTGACTCGTTTCTCGAGATCAAGTTGAATTTTACACCAAATAACATTCCAGTATAAATCATTTCGCTCTGTTTAAAAACCAGAATACTTCAATTATTGACTGTTCTCCCTAGCTCGTCATCTTCTAATTGCCTGGAAATCCATCGATCACTTTCTCACACAACAAATCCTCCGTAACTCCATTGGTGCATTCGATTTTGTGTTACGGAGAGTGGACTATAATTTGGTCCCTCTCACCGACAAACCACTAGATTCCCCAGGCAAGTCCTGCGGTTCCAAACAGTCGTCACCCACCGCATCGGCATAATCAGTCCAAGACGCACTTTTCCACTTTCCGAGAAACGAAAAAAAAAATCACCACTTACGGTTACGACAACCGGCCCAAAAACAACTGAAACCCAACAAACAAACAAAAATGCACAATCCAAAAAAAACCACACACCCAAGAAAACGAACTACATCCTAGCAGATAGGTACTTCCACTTACATAAATTACAATCCCAGCCGGCACGTTGCTGGTGCTGTTGTTGCTGTGGCTGCTGCAGGGCTGCTGGATGATGTAGCCTCGGAGGAAGCCCACTCGGACGGTGTGATGGTGGTGGTGGTGGTGGAGGTCCTACCGGCGAATATGACGGTGGTAGGGATGGGGGTGGTGGTAGTGCCACTGGATGAGGATGATATGAAGGATTCCGCTGCTGGTCCACGGTTAGGGCTGTCGGCTGATCTGCACGCAGGGATCCACTCTCGGACTCCCCTTGGCAGAAGATACGCTACGGAAACACACGCGACGATAACAACAGCGCGCGGCACACTATCCGGACCGGGGGACACTGACTGAGCTGAGCACCAATTTACTTAAGGTGTACACACACAGGACGGCAAAAACAGCACGGCTCCTTCCGTAATATACTTTTTTTTAATATTTTCCTTCTCGCGTTTACTTCACTTGTGTGTCGCTCCTTGGTTCGAGGGTTCGCGCTTCTTTCCGCGGGTACACACCGGTGGACCGAAGGCTCACTCACTAACCGAAAAAAAAATCTTGTGTTATTTTTCGCTTCTTTCCCCGTAGCAGTCGTTTCACTTAAGGGGGTGGCAGGTAGGACGAGGCCAGGAAACTCTTCACTAATTTTTTTTTGCTTCCTCCACTGACTGAACTGCTTTGGGTTAATGCTCGCCTCTGGCCTTTCGCTGTGTGCTACCTCGGATGATATTGCGGCGAAATTTTTCGCTGAATCCTCACGTCCTAGCGTGAACAGAAAAAAAAAAATGTAAAGGACGACGTCGTCCGACCAAGACGTAGTCCCGTAGCACCGCGGCGACGACAACGGCTACGACGTTGATTTGGGGCGCCGAGAAAAAAAAAATCTTCTTGTTTGTTTGCTGCTGCCCCCACCGAACTTAACTTCACTAATGCCTCTCGCCACTGACTGGTGTACTGGTTGGTTACTGCAGTGAGAGTGTATGCTATTTGGCAAGGCTGAAAGGATAATCCTTCGGAGACTTTTAAATTTCACGTTTCGCTTCTTTTTTTTTTCGTTAGACGCAATTTTTGTTTTTTTTTTCTCGCAGATACTGGTCACTTGAGAGTAGTCAGAAATTGTGTACTCCTTAGCACTTGCTTCACGCGTATCCTTACATCCGGTTGACCAACTAACACACTTACAGGGTCTTGAATATCCAAGGAAAAGCACTAAGAAGTGATCTTCACCCACAGACGATCTGCGGCACGTTTCGCGAAATCGCTCACCACGAGAACAAAAGGACTCGGCCAAATCCGCCGAAAACCTCACGACCCGCACACCAAACAATCATCGGGGCTAATTGTTTCCGTTCTTCTTTTGTTGTCCACTGCTCGCGCTGATTGCGGTCGCTATTTTCTTCTTCTGATTGGCTATTCTCCCTTCCTTCCTTCCTTGGCACTTGTATTTCACTTGTATGGGACTAAAAATGCTTGCAGCTGTCGCAGTCGCTGTCCAAGCATCCTTCGCGTCACGTTTCTCGAACACAACTAAGTTGGAAATTTAAATAAGCGTACGAAAATTACGGCGAGATGCGAACGCACTAGCAAAGCAAAAAAAAAAGCGATGCGTTTTGCACTTTTCTCCAAACACTCACACACATGCACACACCGCACAAGTTCGTGAGTACTCGCGTCCGTCCGTCCGTCCGCCGCGTGTAGAAATATGTCTTGCTCTCGTGCGCGCTCCTTTCGCTCTGCTGCTGCCTGCTCGCTGTCACACACCGTTCGCCAAAAACGATCGCACCGAAAATCGCCGTCCACTGACTGACTGCCTGGCTGTGTCTGGTGCGAGCGAGAGTCCTTTCGGCGGTTTCGCTCTCTCATCATCACCACCACACCACCGACATGCGAAGACGGACGCGATATCGCGGTGTGCGATGCTACCGGCGGCGGTGCCGCGCGCGCTCGCACTCGCACGCACACTATGCACTCCTTTTTTCGCCACCGTCTTCCTCAAGTGTAGTGTCCCTGTTGGTGCACGCTCTCTCATTCTCACGCTGTACATAGCAAACTCTCGCGCTCGCACACACCTTTCGACAGTACATAAGCGGACCGCTCTCACTCGAACCGAGTGGACAGACAGCAGCGATTTAAACTACTCTCCCACTACCTCTTCGCTCGCACACACGAAACTCGCTCGCTCGCTCATTACCCACACCCCCACCAATCCATCAACAATAACAACATTTCGCACACACATCGGTGGCGGGCGGCTGCTGCTGTGCGAGACTGCATGCTTATGCTTGACCACCACCGTCGTCTTCGTCATCATCATTTCCGTCGAAGCGGGACGGAAACGCACGATCGGAGGAAGGTATGGAAGGCAGCGGCAGGTACGATGGGAGAGTTTTCCCGATAAAACTTGTTGTAGGCGGCAAGTTCGTGCTGCTGTGCTGGATGATGGTGACTCGTTTCTTCGGGTTCAGGTAGAACGGTACCGAGAGCAACAAGTGAGCGTATGTAGGATTGAAGTAAAAAAAAAGTAACTACAATTTGCTACCTCTCGTCGGTACCCGACGAGTGACGAGTTTTTGGAATGCCTTTCATGAATCAGTCCATCATATTTACAAAACTGATCGAAATTGGTTAACATTTTTCTTACCCATTCATTCATCAACTAGGATGAGTCGAAATGCTATGATGTGTGGCATTTTTGTTACAAATGAAATTAAATGTCCTTTTCGATTAGATACTGTCGAATAAATCACTGACTGTCGAGGTACACCCTCTTAAACTAGTGTTCGATTGGATGACATTTGTTATGAGTGCTTTCCTTGCTCGATGTAAAATTAGTTTTTGCTCAATTCTGGTCACATTTGTCTAGCTAAAAAAGTACTAAAAAGTGTCATTTTGTAAGGCCAAATCACTAAGGTTGCTTTTTCTTGTAATCGGTCACTATTTTCACCATTGCAGCGTGAATTTATTTGAAGATTGATCATTCTTCTTGCAGTCTGTAGGATCTGAAAGTCCAATCGATGTCTACATTTTGTTCAAATTATCAAACAATTCGAAGGTGTTATGTTACCTTTTTTGACGATTAATCGTCTTTCTCTATCTACAGGGTGTCTACTCAATTGGCTAATTAAAATTCCCTGAGTTTTCCAGATTATTTCAGAATTTTAAAGGATAATTTTCAGCTTTATAATAAGAAAGGTATTTTTTAATGCGTTAGAAATATGCTTTTTTTCGTGAAACAACAATTATAGCAACTGACGCAAAAGTTTTTAAAACATGACAATCAGTTTTAAAGAAACAAATTTCCAATCAAATCCGTTAAATGTTGAAGCATAGTACTCAATTAATTTGAGTAAGTAGTCATCTTAGGATCTCTTTACCCCGTAACGTGGGTAGATCACCTTTTCGTGGTACGTTACGGGATGTAAGATCTACCACCGATTCCTAGTCTTGACTACTTCAAACTAGGGGAACAGGATTTTTCAGTAATTAAAGGAACACATCTTAGTCCTTCTTATGTCTTGTTGATAGCGATAAGTCCTCGGGTTGCCTGGACCGAGGATGATCTTGAAACAACGAAAAAATGAGTTAGTTAGTCTTCACCTATGTGATTCCTAATTTTCTATTCGTTGTTCCCTAGTTTGAAGTGGTTAAGACTAGGGTTCTGATGCATGGTCATAACCGGTGTCATTCCTTAATCTTGTTGCTAAGGAATCCAATTTTGACTGACAAAGGGGCGTGCCTGTGGATGGTGTTTCAACACTCAGAAGGGTATAAACAGCGCGACCTTTCAATTAGAGTCGGATCCTTGCGATGAAGGCAAGAATGACAACTGTATCAAAACCGAATACTTCATCATTTCTCAATAGTGATGAAGTAATACGACATGCACTAAACTAAGGACACGGGATATACTACAATAGATCAAATTACTGGTCGCAGTAGTTTTATGTCCCGAACAGAGGGGAAAAAATAGGATCTCAAAATATTCAATGCTCTGATGTTTCGTATTCCATATACAAGTTCAAGATTTTATAAAAAATCATAGTGGCAGATTAAAGAAAACAAATTAAATTATTTATTTCATGTCTCTATTTAACTTTATTAAAGATTAGATAAGTGAAGTCCCATTAACTGCCCAACAATTGTAGGAACTTTACAAAAGTTTTGAGAAATGAAAGCAAATGCTGAGAATTTCAGTGAATCTTCATAAACAAATTGCGGAACATGGATGTTTACATCGTTAAAATATGGGGAACTTACTGGAAGTTTTAAGAACCTCAAAGTAGATCTATTACCTTCCCAAAACCCGCAGGAACTTTTAAGAAGTTCCTAGAATTTCAGAGAGGGGCCTCCCTCAGCTCAGTCGATAAAGGCGCAGCTACAAAGCAAGCTGGTGCTGGAGGTGGCTGGGTTCGATTCCCGGTCCGGTCTAGGAATTTTTCGGGTTAGAAAATTTCTAGACTTCCTGGACATAGAAGTATGATTGGACTTGCCATACAAATATGCAAATGCAAAAAAGGTACAGGCATCGAAAGCTCTCACTTAATATCTGTGGAAGTGCATCTAGAACACTAAGTTGAGAGCACGCAATAAGCTAATATGCGATATGCAATAAGCTTGAAATGCGAAGAAGAAGAAGAATTTCAGAGAACTTCACCGGTGTCAAGAGAACTGTTCTGACGAGTGATTCCATTCGATAGTCGTAATGGTATGGAAGATAATGTGGGAGCCAAGAAAGTGGTGGATGTTCAGTCGGGTGGTGTAGGTACCAGTCGGGTGGTCAACTTTGATCCGGACAGACACACGCTGTTGTTTGGGCAAGACAATGGAGATAAGAGTGACGTTACTGTGCATTTTGCTTAATTACATTGTTGGCAGTCAACAACTATCGACGCCTTATGACTACTGGGCCGGTGTGATGGAGTTCAGCTTTAAGGAAAGATCGGTCAATTCCGAATCACCCATGGTCTACTCCGCAAGGAAATTTGGAGAAAAATAAGCAGATAATTAATTATTCGGAAGCCGACCCGGTGGATATTATTGTTTTTCCAGAATATGGCTTGAGTGCCATTGAAACGGCTTCATTTGTCTCGAGCCGAGTCGACCTTACCGTGCCATGCAACAATCTGGAATATGATGCGGTTGTGAGGGTTTTATCCTTTGAGAGATCGTCAGAAATATTTGGTTGTGGATCTGGTGGAGAAGGCCCTCTGTTCGGAGAAATGGGAACGGCAGTCATGTGCTCCGAATAGTTTGTACCACGCGAACGTTGTTTTCGTCATCGCT